AGGTTTCCCATTGAAATTTAAAGTATCCATTGAGAGAGTAGGAGGGTAGTGTGTCAGAGGTTTAAAGTTAATAAGGGATGATAATATGCTGATGACTTTAAACAGCACATTATCTTAATCATGATTTAAAAAGCCTTTACAGGAAATACTAACTCCAATGTGTGCAAAATGCACCCCACTTCTCCAACCTCATGACGTAAGAAATGGGTGCAACAGTACTCTCGCTATAAAAGCCTAAATGGAGACAAGGCCACTTTAGCTTTTATAGCAAATTAGCTAGACTATATCAGCACTGCATCTCCAGCCTGCTGTTTAGTTGATTTTACTTAATCTCACAGTAGATTTAAAATTCCTTGTCTTTACTGTGCTTTTGGAGTGGGGTAAAAATGCAGGTTCATTATCTTGTGGCTTTAAAAAAAACACACTTTTAAAAATATTTAAGGAAATAGCCTTAGATGACCCTAGAAGAAATTCAGGAGGCATTCAACAAGCCTTCTTCAGGTAGAGTTTTGGTGCCTATAATACAGGGATGGGGAATTATTTTGGCTGGAGAGCCTCTTAATGAGTTTTGGTGAGCTGTTGAGGGCTGCACACAACATATTTCAACAAATTATAGATAAAAAAATAAATCATATACTAAAAATCAAACCTCTACCATAACATTACATAAAAAAATATTATGTAAAAAAATAATTTTGGTCCTGATTTATGTGTTTTTGAGTGGTACATATAGAGGTGATTACATAACAGTTAAAAAAAGTCTTATTTTTGTATATTGTGTGTAGGGTTGTGGGGGTAGAGGGTGTGTGTGAGGGATGGGTGTTGTGGAGGTGCGCACATGTGTGTGTCAGAGAGCTGCCTGTGTGCTAGGTTCTGCAACCTGGCCAGGGGTGGGGGGAAGAGGAGTAGGGGGCACATGTGGGGGCCCACTCTCTCTCTGTCTCTCTATCCAGCCTGTGGCTGCCCACTCAGTGCTTCCAATGGAGCTAAGCCCTGCCTGCTCCTATCCGGGGCAGCTAGCAACGTACTCCCATTCCTGGCCAGCCCAGGTACTGCTTGGCTCCCACCACCTCCAGTGGTTCCTCCTCCTCCTGCCCCTTCTGTGTTGCTCTGGGCATCAGGTAGCACGGGGAAGTGGCAGCAGCCATGGAGATGTGTGCCAGGCATCACACGCTCACACAGAGTGTTAGCCTCTTATTCTGCATCTGTAGTCATGTATCCTTGAGTGTGGCATCAAGAGTTTGGGTGCTAGTGAGGAAGCTCCTGCGTGATTTCAGACACTTATGTGCTGAGGGATGGTCACACATTGGGTGTCTCACATTTTTAGTTTGTTTCCATCCTTCTGTCCTACTAGCCACTGCTCTTATGATGTCAGGCGTAGCGATGCCATCCAGCAGGTACACGCTGTTTAGGCTGGCAGGCTTCAGAAATCCTGTGATATATTGGCTGCTATCATGAAGTCAAGGTGCTCAAGTATGGATCTCTCCCCTAAAAGACACGTTACAAGGACGAGTTACAACTTATAATTTAACTGGTTTTAAGGACATCCATTAAATGGTATGTCCTCAGCTGAGAAAGAGCAAAAGGAGTAAACAGAAAGTGATTTTCCCCAGGAGTTAACCACAGGAGGGAGCCAGGGAGCAGGAAGCTTGCACAGCCCATTAGTAGATGTGCTGGGTATCTTTTTTTGGTTTGTTCTCTCTCTCCCTCTCTCTCTCTCTCTCTCTCTCTCTCTTTCACAGCCCAGGTGTCCTCCAGAGAGCAAAGGAGCCATAAATGGAGACTGGATCAAGCAGTCGTGACTTGTGTGGAAAGTGCCATGTTTGTGTTCCTCCCAGAGGAGGGGTTGGCAACGTTTTTAGGCAGAGTGCCAAAACCCACACAACCTTGATTTGTAAAATGTTGGTGTGCCAGGGGCAGATGGCAGGGGAGCTGTGAGGGACCTGATCCTTGTTGTGGCAGCACAGCCCTGGCCCCTTTCTCAAGGCATGTGCGCCGCACAAAATGTCTTTGCGTGCTATGCTCTGGCACTTGTGCTGGGGATCACCAACACCTGTCCCAGAGGGTTAAAACCACTTAATCTGTACTAAGTATAAGCTGGTGTCTGTCTTGGAGGAAAAGATTGAAAGGGTGGAATCACAGGTGTCCACACTATTAAGGAAAATGAAGGTTTCTTGGACAGGAGTTATGAGGGGCTGGCGCTGGAGAGACCCAAGGGAAAAGAAGAGATGACTTTTCTGGAAGAAGGAGAGTCCCCAGAATTCAAGAGAAACCTCCTGAAGTCAGCAACTGCTTTCAAGCATTGTGTGGTGGAAGGGCTGAGGAGGAAAAGGCAGAGGGCAGGACAGCAGCAGGCTAGAGCTGAAGGATGCAGCAGTCTGGAGAGCAGGAAGTACAGTGTCCTAGGGATGGAGGCTCTGAGGCCTGTGCACCAAGAAGGAATAGAAGAGCAATAGTGGTTGGGGGGGACCTTCTGTGGGCGATAGAAAGACTCATTTGTTCTCACATGGGGGCTCTGGAGCCCAAATCCAGGGAAGCCTGCCACAGCTCATCCCTCTCTCAGGCCACACCCTAGCTCTGCTTGTCCACCTGGGTACCAGCCATGCTGCTAGCAATGTCACCCAGCAGGTCAGGGGACCAGTGCCGTAGCAAGGAATTTTGGTGCCCGGGACAAGCCCACAGCAGCAGCCTGTCCTTGCCCCATGCACAGATCCGGGGGCACACAGTTCCCATGCTTGCCCGGGGGTGCACGCGGTGGTGGGATCTGCCCTCCCCCCTGTCCCTGCACCCCCCTAAATGAGCCACTCATGGCTCTGTCCTGTGCCCCACCCTGGCTGGGCAGCTCCTGTTGGTGCCCCATCACTTCGGCGCCTGGGGCGGTAGCCCTGCTTGCCCCCCCTTGCTACAGCACTGCAGGGGACACTAGGAGGCAGGTGGACTGAGAAGCTTTGAGGCAAGCGGTCTCATCCGCCCTCCCTTGGGCCTGCAGCTCTTGCCCCTGCCCTGCTGCTCCAAGGCGGTGGTGGGGCCACGAGGCGGGAATGCAAAAGTCACTCAGGTGCAGGCCATAGAGAGTGCCAGGAGGGAGCCCAGCAGTGCCCTTCAGCTGGCACTCTCTGAGGCCTGCTTAATTTATGGTGCTTTATAAATTTAAACACTATAAATTAAGAGGTGCTTAATTGATGCCCACAGCTGGGCAGGTTGCTGTTTTGCTTTGCTTGGCTCCAGCCCGGCTGAGCAAAGCTGCAGGCACAGCATTGCCAGGCCTTAAATACAAAATTATTGTATTGGAAGCTTAAAATGATCAATTTGCTGAAAAATGACAGTATGCTGACAAAATATGCCCATCAGCTGCAAATAAATCTTCTTCTTGTTGACTTTATAGCGTTCACTGGAAACTGTCTGGAGCGAGGGAGAAGTGGGCCGTCAAGGTGGAAGTCTTGCTCTGTTTTGAGGCCAGCAGCCCTGAGACTGCGTTGAGAGCTAACCCAAAAGTGGGCTCTCAACCTCCTGAAGACTCAGGACAAGCGCAGTGGCTTCTTAACTTGGCAGGGGAAATACCATGCATCTGTGCAAACAAGGTCTGTGTTTTTACCTGTCTGTGAGCATATTCTGAAAGTGGAATTTAGGTCCTGACTTTTGACAATATGTTCCTCATATCTTGAAGAAAAACTGCAAGAAGGCAGTTTTCCCGAACCGCTCCTCTGGTGTGGTTCAGTACCCACCGAGGTGCGCAGCTTTAAGCCCAGTTGATGGAAAAGGGAGTCTCCTCCCTTGCTTATGACTGAGGGCAAGCAAAACTTGGGGGCAACTAGGATGCCAGCCAAAGGATTTGGAAACATCTGAAGCCCCAGGTGTGGGTGGCGGATGTTTGCCGGTAGCAGGGCCCCTTATGGTTCTGGACTCTTGGATTTGGAATGAGTTGGGGCTAATTTGGCCTGGACTACAAATGAAATGAAAAAACCAACAAACCCCAAAGGGGGTTCAGGCTCCCCGAGAGCGGCTTGGGCTCTGCATCTGCTGATGCCTCAAACCCACGAGCTGCCTCCCAGGCGGTGGCAGAGTTTCAACGGGGTTTGCTCTGACTGATCGCACCAGGCTGGAGGCGGGGGGGGTGCGG